TGAGGACACCTTTTAACATGACAGAGCTCAAAAAAGGTAATATTTTAAGAAAAAAATATGCCCTGTACTAATTTTTCCCAAATAGTAGAGTTTTTACCTACTCGGCTGATGCCAACCTCTTCTCCAGAGGGAAAGTTAATTAGCCCATGAGGATGTTAAGCTGCAGGATACGTAAGTAAAGGGTTTTATTTAACTGAGCTGAGCTGCTGCATGCAGGCAACACCAGCAAAATCTCTGAGATTCATTTTTAAGTGATTTTAATTCCAGTACAAACATTAACTTGATTTTAATGCCAACAAGAAAATAGTTTTTTTTCCATCTTGAGGATTTTTTTACCATTTTAGATTTACAATTCATGTAGCTCATAATTAGATATTCTCTATACAGCACTGTTGTACAAAGAACCTCCTAGCATGTGGAAATTTGCTTTTTTCATTATGTAATGCCATTTGTAATTATCTGATGCAGCACTAGGTAATTTCTCAGCTATACTTTTTGAGGGAAGAGAGCTCTCTTCTGGGATAACTTCTGTTAAACTGAACTTTAAGTGTAATTGTCGTGGGTTAGGGTTCAAAATGAATGCTAGCTGCAGTTCAGGTAATTTCTGTCCTTTAGTGCCTATAGAAGTTATTTGGGCAAAGCTGTCATTGCTGGGATGCTCAAATTTAATTAGTCTGTTCGTTCGTTCACTTGTCACTTGAAACTTGCACTTTCTTATTTACCTACCCATATAACAGAGTTTCTATTTACCTTCAAAATGAGCAAATGTCTAGTGGGTGGGTATTTTCAATGAAGTCCCAATAAATGCAGGACTGAAAATACCATCATTATCTTCTGTTGCTCTGCCACTTCTGTTACTGACCAAACAGAAAACTAAAAACTAACAAGCTATCTGTTGAATTCCAGGGCTTTGAAAGCAGAGAAATGGAAGAGGATTATTACATTGTGTGTGCCTGAGTCTTGAAAGAAACGTAATCTGGACTTGTTTTGCTCCCAGCTTATGTGCTGGGATTTCCAGAAATTTATATTCTTGTTTTGGAGGCTAATTATCTTTAATCAGGAAGAGTGAAGAGAAGAGAGGAGTGCACACTTAAAGTAGTGGTATTTGGGCTTTGAGGGTAAAATAAGGCAGGCAAACTTTGAACATATTGACATACTATTTCAGCAGCAAGGTCTGGTTAACCTATTTGGGCTGCTGTAGAACGTTTTAATTGATGTTCTTTATTTTTATAAAAAGAAATCCCTAAAAAATAAAAGTCAACTGCCTTTTAAAAATGTTTGACACTTTCCCTATACTGGTTTATTAGCCCAGTTGTTGACTGGTTGGAAGCTGTAGCAAGAGTGAGATATATATTTTTATGGTTTTATGCTATAGAATGGGATTGTTACACAGCATTCATTCATCTTCTATTGATATGGGAGGCTTCTAGTGCTGTGACACAATTGACCTGTAACCTTGCTGGGGCTTTTAAGGAAAAAAAAAAAGAATATTGGGGGGAGGGAGGAAACTTGGGTCCAGGCAAAGTTGAGACCTGTAATGGGCTTCAAAACATGGAATATGTTGGGGTTTTCCTTTGAGTTGTTTGTTTTGTTTTTTTATTTTGGGTTGTTGGGTTTTTTTGTCTGCTTCCCTGCTCTGTCTTTTTTCTGATTGCTTTGAAATAACATTTCTTAGCTTTCTTTTTAAAAGCTGCAGCAGAGAGAGCACAGCAAAGAAAACACTCAATTCTCTTTTGTTTACAATAATTGGAGGAGTTACAAAATGATGTTGCGGTTGCCTAGCTTGTCCCAGACCTTAGTTTGTGGAAACTCAAATATACAGCATTATTCTGTTTTGGTTTTGTATTTGTATCATGACAGAGATGTAAGCTAATAGAGACAAAGCATCTCTTCCCCCCACTCCAGCACAGATGTCAGTCATGCTTGTGCACTTTTTCTTTCTTCCTTTCCCACCTCTGTTCCTGTTTACAGCACTCATGGAACAGCCTTGTTCCTTGTGGCTGCTGCATGTACACTGGGAGCGATGATTGCAAAAGCCAGGTATTTGCCACTCTGAGCTGCCTCTGTCCCAGATAATTGAAAGGAAAAAGTATGGAGGATGCATCTTTTGAGGTCTTGCATACTTCCCTAGCTGAAGGATATGTACCCTTGCCTTTTCATAAAGTGAACCCACTCCAGTGAGGATTGTTTTTTTTGGTATCATCATGGAAAGACATTGTACATATTGCTCACAGAACGATGACTAGAGCAGCTTGAGAAGAATTGTCAAGCTTTTACTATGTACTCTTAGTAGTAAGTTCTGCAGAGCCAGGCAGCAATTTGCTAAATTTGCTGATTATGGGAGGCAGAAAGATCACTTTCCAAAAAAAAAAAAAAAATCTTATTTTCATCATGCTACAACTGGAGCAGCTAAGGCTACTTAATGTTCGTCACAGCATTTGCCTGGCTCGGCTGGCTTTGTGGCTGCATACGTTTGAGTTCTGATGCTTGCTGGATATGACTTTCTGCAAGCAGTTCTCATTTTTTGTATTTTATTTGAGGTGGGCCTTTGGTATATTATGTTCCAGGTGCTCTTGTAGAATATGGATGGTAACTGTGGATTAAAAGTCTATATGATGCTATCGAGTTAACAAATAGCTCAGTGAGAATTTGTACGCTTGTGCCATTAGCCTCCATCATGCTCTTGGCATTTTGTTTCTGTTCGATATTGTGTGAATCTAAAATTTTACTGTTTCTTTTGTGTGTGTTTTTAATTTATGAAAATAAATTTTTCTGAGAACCTTTCAGTTTTTATAAGGCCTTCTTTAGGCTCGTATCAGTAAATATGCATAATATATCTGTCTTGCATACATGGGGGGAAGAGATCAAAACTCCGAAGAGATTAACACTGTTAAGTAACTGGGTTGGCTGCTCCATGCCTCACCAACAGCCCTTCTAGTGTTCCTTCATCCCTAGCCATGCTTTAACAGGAACAGAAACAGACCTGGGGGATTTTAAGCATGATCCTAGCTACTATTCGTAGCACTGAGACAGCATCCATCTCTTAAGGTACTAGAGCAGCAGGAGCCAGAGAGCACAGACAGTTCCTGCCAGGTTCAGAACTGAGACACAAAGCTGACGCAGGCCAGTGGTTCTCGTACGACAGTCTGTGCGAGGCATCAGACTGATGCTTTTAAACTAAAGCTGCCGCGCAGGAACATCAAAAAAGCCTATTTAGCATCTGTGATGTCTATGCCAGAAAACAACTTCCCGCCCCCAAACGATAAAATTTGTGTATAACTCAGATTTTCAATTGATTGCTATTCAGCTGCATGCTGCTTTTGGCAAAACTAAGCTGGCAGATGCATTTCTTCACTCTGTTCTCATAACTCCCTCTCTGAAGCACAGTGTTACGTGGGTCCCGCAGATGGCATGTAAGCTCCAGTAAAGAAGGGAAGGGAGAACCTCAGAGACTTAGACCTATCTTCCTGCTGTTCCCTCAGCTCTTCAGGGCCACAGCTTGCTGGCTGCAACACAGCATACGTGGATTTTGTTCTGTTACTGTACAGGGACTTGCTTCGTTCACCCTTTACTTCTCCCTTTCTCTCTGAAAGGCAGATGAGTTTGGACTTGCATCCTCTGCCTGTTGTTTGATTAGTCAGTGTTAAACAATGAGACAAGTGAGAGAGACAACAGTCTCAGCTAAGATTAACTGAATCTAAAACCCTTGCTGCTGGTCAGAGGGCAAATTTTTTCCTTCTCAGGAAGTGAAAAGGGGGAGGAGAGGGGCGACCATGTCAAACAACAGGAAAGACAAGCTAGGCATGAAACAAACTGTTTAAAACCAGGTATCCTTAGCAGTGTATTTTACAACTGAGTATTTACTGCTGCCTCACTTTGGTTTTGGTGGAGGAGTTTGGTTTTGGGGTTTTTTCCCTTTATATAGCAGATACATTGACTTTCTCTCTTTTGCAGCCAGCCTGCCTTCACTATTTGCATCTTATTTATTACTAGCTGAGGTTAATACAACTGGAACATACGTAGCAAGGACTGAAGAGTTTGGGGTGAAGGATTTTTTTAAATTTAATTAAAATCTTAACCTTGCCTGGTTCAGGGGGCATGGAAACAGAAGCTGGTAACTCTGTTGCAAACTGAAATGAGCCTGCCCATGGACAGTCATCCATTCTAAATCTTTATCCACGCACAGGCAAAACAAATACACAATACATTCTGTTCAAAAGGCTTCATATCATGTTCAGGCAGTTTCTGCTTGGAAAACCAATAGTGTTTAATTGATGAAAATCATATTTTGACACTTCACAGAACCATAGATTCAAAGTGTCAAAGTACTATCAAATAATGGTTGGTGGTTTTGACAAGGATGAATATCCATTGCTTTCCTTCACCTAAAGTCTGCAAGCATCCAGTTCAGCTGGCTATTAGATGCCTTAATACATTAGTTTGTGAGAAGAATGTTTCGATTTACTAGTATAAATCCTTGGTTAAAAAAGCAAGTACATTCTTCCTAGTTAAAAGCAGAAAATACTACTGATTCTGATAGCAATTACATGTACAACCTATAGCATGCATGTTCAACAAGGACTATCCAGCTGCAACCAAAATCACAGATATAGGAGGACAATGCTGCAACTACCAAAATGTCAGTCGATTCTTTTTGCATGGAAACAGTTTTTAAAAGACAAGCAAGGCAAACTGCTACAGACTAACCTGTGCCACTCATGGCAGTCTGTATTTTAGTCCATGGTGTTGGCCCTGCTATTTCCACCAAACTGCTGATTTCTCCATAGTAGTTGTAAAGAATTGCTGATCCTAGCTCTGTGCTGTGGGTTATGCAGACTGGCCTGTGCTGTTCCACATGATGCCATGCTCCAAACAAGAAAGGGGTGACATATGAAACGTATTACATTATCATAAACATAAAATCTGCTTTAAAAAAAGAAAGACGAGTATTCGGCATACATTTCTAGAGATGGCTGTTTCCTTGCTGATTGATTTGCATATTTCCTTCTTTTCAACACTGCTGGTGATGTACGTGCCTTGCAAAGCCTCTGTATTAGCTGTCAGTTCGATGAGGATGCGCAGATATCCTGTTTGCAGAAGTCTAAGATGCCTACAAACCAGTAAGAAAGTATACATTTAAGGATGCTATCAGCTTTAAAAGCAACAAATGTAACAAATTCTTCAGATACTATTCACTAAAACAGCAGAATAGAGGTAAATTCCTCTTCTGAATTTCAGTTCTTTTAACAACTAAAACTCACAGAAGTCTAACTTAACTGTGTAATCTTCATTTACTTCAGTACAGATTTTCGGATCCCAAACCAGCTCGATCCTGGCTCCAACAGTTTCAGTTTTAGTGACAGCTAAATGTATACTTCATACAGCTTTCAGTGGAAAATAATGCAAGAGTCATTCCTTAAGTTTATAAAGGTTTTGATCTTGAGTTCTCTAGTGTGCTCTTTTTAAAAAGGAAATTAATTAACTTATTTTGAGGCTAATTTGAGAATTAAATATAAAATTTCTTATCTTTTTCACAAGTTTGGCATATCCAAATTAATATTTTATTTCCTTTTCCCAGAACTGATCTTCGGAATTGAAGGGAAAAATTTCAGAGTGGGAGTAAAATAGTCCTATTTCAATAACGTCATCTTTGCTCTCAAATGTGTTGGTTATTCTGTTCCTGCAGAGCTCCAGTTTCAGTGCTTTTGGATAGGAGTTGTAAGAGGCTCTAGAGGGGCTCCACACACAGTACTCCTTGGGAAATTGTTACTAACAGGATTATGTAGAACATACTTCTCCATTCAGTCTTAACAAAAAGGCACCAGCTATGCACAGAAGGCTTCCTGCTTCACATTTTTCTCTAAAAATTAAGAACTGGCCTTTACCTGCAGGTGTACAATTAAACACTGATTCTGCCAGTTGAAAGAAGGACACTCCAAGAATTTCCTGATAGCTCATGTGACTTGCATGAACAAGGTACTGAGTAGTGTCTTTGAAAAGCAGATCACTTTCACCATACTTCCATGACTGAAAGAGGTGGAATTCAGAATCCAGTTTGCTTCCCAGAGATTCCTAAACAGAAAAGAAGTAAGTTCCACAGCTTGGGTTATAAATAGCAAGGTTAAGCTGGTGACTCTCAATTTTATAGCAAGATCTAGCAGAAAAAAGGTTCCACTTTCACCTAGCACTGTCTTTATTCATACAAAAAGATGCAGTTTGCAGTGGCTTATTTCTCAGCAGAAGTATGACCAGTGCAGAATGGCAACTGGTGCCAAAATACCCCTACAGAGAATCCAAGTAATTACTTCCTCAATCATCTCCTATGCACATTCTTAACTCTTTCATATTGAACCTGAAGGCACTTTACATGCATTCAGTATATAAAGCTTTTGATCTTGAAAGGGTTCAGCAGTCGTACGTAACAAGTGATAGCACACTAACTTTTTCCCTGTTACCTGCCTTACCTGGGATTTCATTAGAAAGTCATAGATTTTAGTGACAGTGACTGGTCGAGTCATGACTGCGCTGGGGGGAATGGGGCCAAGGTTACAGCCTGCCCATTCTGTGACTGGAGCACGGGTTCCATCCGGACACAAGAGTTCAAAGTCAAAAGGGGTATAACCTTTTGCCCAACCAGAGCTGCCCAGATCTGAAAAGAAGATGAAAGCAAATCCTTTTAGAAAATGAAAGCTGAAGATGAGGTGAATCTCATGCAAAATGTTAAAAACTGAGAGGAAGAAACTTAGTGAATATATTCAAAACATGCAGCATGCTGCGTGGTCATTTATGAGGAAGAGGGTAGTGTTTTCACTGAGGAAACAGGTGAGTGAACTTAAGCTGCAGCTGTCAACTAAAAACTAGAGTAACATCAAGGCATACCAACAGCTTATCATGCCTCATCTTCATCTACAACCAGATTGCTTTCTGAAAACAAAACAATTCAGCCTGCATGTCCTTTGCTTCCCCAAACAAACTGCTCATTGCTACGTGAATTCCTGTGCGTTTCCAGGCCCTTGTAACTCTACTTGATTTTAGAGATATTTCTCTCTCAGAAAAGTTTCTGTTAGTGAAATTGCCTAAATTAGAATCCGTGTGCTTTATCCAGCTGCACAAAATGAAGGCTCTCTTTCTCTTCACCTGTATAAAAAGGCAGCATATTTTGGCTGTTAGAGCAGTAGGCAGAATTTAAGAGACTCAGGGGATTTAAGCTACTGTGACCAAACCATTTTCACCAACAAAATCCAATTGCTATATAGTTGCAAAGATCAGTATTTCCCAGAGGAAATTAAACACTTCACAGTGTAGTAACAATTTTGGTTTAGAAACTGTGAAAGGCAAAATAATTTACAGTATTTTAACTATTAAGCTATTTGGACTGTTTATTCTGTAAGTCCCTGTGAAACAACATGAGGAAGTTGCCGTGTCACGATGAAGCCATAGAACATCTCCCAGCACAAACAGCCCACAGCATCACTCTTAGCTGTCATTTTCATTCTTGAAACTCTGATTAAAAACAACAGGTACACACACTGTGGCTGCCTGTGGGAGAAGATCTGGTGGGAAAAGTCACTTGCTTTTTAAAGCTTTGAGCTTCCCAAAAATTAGTGCAGTCTCCAGGGATGATAACCCCCGCAACACACACCTTGACCTTTGCACTCAGGGATTCTTCCACTTTGCTCTCTAAAACTGAACAGTATCTGAATTTTAAGCTTTACTGGAACATCTACGTGCAGGAAGGTTCTTGCAATTTTCCAGTCACAAACACAATTTCATGGACCTAGATCAAACCTGTAAAAGCTGATCTTCACGAGTGATAGTCACTGTGTGGGAAGTAACTGACACTAATGAACATTCTCAAAGGAAAAGACAATATCTGCATCTCACTCTCTATGTTCTGGAGTAGGTTAGAGTGTTCCAGGAAAGCTACATCTCCAAAGCTTCTTCCACTGGGATTGCCAACTAGGCACCTAGTGTGGGAAAAAAAAAAAAAACCAAGTTATCAGAGACAGCCACTATATGATGACTGAAGTTTGGACAGTCATCTGCAGGTAAAACAAGAATAGCTGGAAGTTATGTCCCTCATCTGTAATTACTTGTTGGTTATATGGAACAAGTTAGTGACGTCAGTATAGACCTTAGTTCGCATATTTGATAAGATAATCCCTTTCATCCCTTACAGTAGCTCCCAAGTCCAAATTGTGGCACAACGTCCATGCAGCCTCACCTGTGCCTAGCCAGGAAAGAGGATGTAATTCAACTAAATGCATTATATGCATTCTAGAAGAGTGCCTTCACCTTTAATACTCTTCCCTGCCTCTGCTTCAACTATGTTTTTTTTAGTATCTCCAGTCTATTTAATTACCTCCTGTACCCTACACTGCTGCTTATCACATCACCTCTGCTCTCTGACCTTCTAATCACCTTTCACCAGTTCTCTTCCATGAGTCAATACCAATGCTCTAAGCCTTGCATGCTTGGAAGCATTGTTTTGCTCTGGAAATTGTTTAATGACTTTTAAATCACCAATCAGCTGAACATCCCATAGCAACTGCAAAGAAAACAAAATACACACTAGCAAAAGTTTATGCAGCCAGTTGCTTAAGAAAAAAAAAACTCCAAAGAAAACCATCAGCAAAATAATGAGCCAATTCTCGCTATTTCGCAGCGTTTCTGACTCTGACAAAAGGCTTACCTGAGCGCTCCCATATTGCCATAGTAACGCTCGTTGTGACTTGCAGCACATCTGCCAGACACTCGAGCCCCTTCCACCTCACTGTCTCCAATGCACACCTTGCACAGGTTTCCATCTGCTCCTGGCATGCAGCCCTTCCAAAAGTAATTCTGATAAACTGAGTGGAGAAAACTGAGGTGAGATTAGGGCAAGGTATTCCAAAGCCTCTTCATGCATGGGAAAAGACAGGAATGGAATTCCATCCTAATAGCCAGCAAGAAGAGGGCTAAATAGTGTGAAGAATCACACACAGTCAGATAGGAGGAAGAGCTGCTTCAGCACCCTCTGAGGCTGCAATCATCACTTGCTGGTCAAATCCCCATGGTTCCATCTCCATTTTACTCCCAAATTTGAGGTCTCAGATTTCCATAGTCTAGTCAACAGGTAACCCAGAGCAGCCTTACCAGAGCCAATGTCACAGTTCTCAGTAGCATTCTCCAGAGCTCCCACTGTGTATCTGGAAGGAAGTAACCATCCTCCAGGACTATACAGGTGACTGTGGCAGGATCGCCTTCCCCTAAGGTTACGGATGTTAATCTGTTTGGCATTTTTCTTAGCTAGAGCAACAGCAAAAACTGGTGGCAGTGCTGTAAAACAATGACAACAACCAGTTATACCATGGCAATTAAGTATTCCAGACAGGTACAGCCTCCCTCTTCCCTCCCTTATCCTGTCACAATATCTTCAGTTACAGCAGAGGATCTGCATTCTTTGCTTAGCCACAAAGCTCTTGTCCTCGCTGCCCAGCATTATCCGTAATCTGAACACGCACAGCAATTCCTTTCCTAAAGAATCATGCAAATACGTTCCTACACAAATCCTAGAGGCAGCCTCAGGAAAATCTAAACCTTTTGCCTTCTCAAAGTTGTCCTGTTACCTTTGCGCTTAAGATGAATTAGTTTCCCTGTTTCCTCTGCGTTCCCAGCAGCTGGGGCACAATCTCGCCCTGGAGAGGAGAGACAACCATTAAGGATCTTGTGACTGCTGTCATTTCTGTTACATGGCAGCACCCCACCAAAAACCTTGCAGTCCTCTTGAGCCACGTCAGCATCTCTGTCTCTTTTACAGAAGAGATATAATAACCAGCCGGACCAACTGCTAGAGCCAGTTAGTAGAAGAGCTAGGAAGAGTATTTGGACACATATATTGATTCCTGCTTCCATCACAGAACATCACAAACTGTGAAAATTTAACTATATTTTTAATGATACTTTTTTGATTCTCTCCCTTATGCTGAGGTCGCATGGGAACTTACCATAACATTCTGCAGCTACAGGCACCAATCCACACCTCCCTGCAATGTAGACATGTGTTGCGTCCAGGGTGACTGCATCAGCCTCACTACTCTGCCAACAGCATTACAGAAAATAACAAAAACAGGATTTGCATGAATTGTGTAACCAAGCAGCTGGAAATTCCTCTACATAAATTCCCTCTCATTCTTGCTGCTTCCTCTAGTGTAAAAGCTGGTTTTCCTCTTGTTCAGCTCAGACAAGGACATACACATCCCGTGCAGTCTTATCGTATATTCTGACCAGAGGGAGTCTCCTACCTTGATCATTTCAATGCATTTGGTCATGGAAGTTGCTTGGACGCAGACTAATGGGTCAGATTTGATGCTCAATGCCCACTCCTCACATTTGCGAAGTTCAGCGTCACTGATGCAGCACCAGCGCACAACACTGTTGTCCAAAGAGCTCCCTGCATTGGAAGGAAAGAGCACAGTGAGATCACATCACCTATGCACCTATTTGTTCTCTGCTAAGGGGACATTTAGGCCTATGCATTTGCACTTGGCAGGGAGAAATAACAGGGAATGAAAACTTTTTCTTCCCTTTCCTTAGCTACAGTCCTCTGGAAGGCTTCTCACCTTCATGGCCAAGCCCTTTAAGGAGAGCTACATAATCCAGACCAAGGACATAAGCAATCTCTAGCTGCTCCTCAAGAAGCTGCAGGTGCTGAGTGGCATCCCGGAACAGCAGGTTCTTTCCCCCAAAGGGTGCTGAAGTGAAGAGTTCAAACCTGGCTCTTTCCTTTCCTCTTCGTCCAAAGAGACGCTAGGAGGAGAACAACTCTTTTAATTGCAACAAATCTGCTCATCCTTCCAGTAACAGGCAGACTCACCCTCCCCTGTCTTCATATCAATGGTTTGTAACATAGAACTCAGGGTTCCATCACACTTCATAAATTCTTTAAATTTGCATTTAAATACACATTTCAGGTTCAGTTTAAAATAAATTCCTGGATGTCAGGGTAACAGATAATACTTATAAGTTGAGAAAAAGAGAGGAACAAAGGTGAACCCTGCCTGAACCTATGTGTCTCTCTCAGCTACACAAGAATTAACATAAGTTCCGGGGCAGGATAAACACCATGAGCCATTTTCCAGTTTGGGTGTTACGGCATCTTCCCCTCCTTTACTTATTTATTCCTAGCCTTCCACAGAAGAACACTTCAGAGAGAAGTAAAACCTCCCAGAAGCCAACACAGGATCCTTCCCCAGAACAAACAATTTTTAGTCCTTTTTCACACCAACTATAAATTTCTCAAGAAGGAAGGCAAACTGGGTGGTAATCTCCATGCAAATATGGAAGAAAAGCCTGTGTCTATACCACTTCATAATATCCACTCACTTGGATCATGGTAAGAAATTTGTTGGTGATCTTCTGGAAGTTGTGGCGAGTGATGACACCACGGCCAGGCCCCTGCCCTAGATTACAGGTGCTGTATTCAGTCAGCTCAGCTGTAGTCCCATCAGGACATAAGAGTTCATATTCCTGTTGTTCTGACTCTGAAACAATAGGACCCTCAACAATCTATGAAGTGAGACATGACTTGGCACAGAGATGGAAGGTAAAACATTTTTCAGAGGAGGTTGCTCAAAGATTATGAGAGCAGCAGAGCACCAAGCACACTTGGGAAAAATGTCTTTGATATGGCCTTCTCTTAACAAAGACAGGGACCTCAGCCAGAGGTACTCCAAAACACTCTTTAAGCTGTACTTCTGTAAATATGTTTGTTTAAAAACACCTACCTGCAAATAATACTGCTAACCAGCTCCAAAAATGTCAGTACAGAGCTCAACTGTGTTTAAAAATACAAAACGGATACACGGGAACTGCACATTCTAGCAGCTCAATACACTGAATTTTAAAAGGAATCTTATAAGTCAGGTAATGCAAATACTGGCAGCTGCGTCAGAGACTTTAGGCCAAAGAAATCACCTGCATAAAAATATCTGTCTGCTCCCATTCTAAGAATGT